GCGTGTTATTAGTCAGCGTTTTTCAACGCGTTTTTTGTGTTCACACCCAAGCGCTTTTCGCTGACGATGAGCCGAGTGAACATGCAAATTCATTCCCTGACAATAGATGGCGCTTAATGTAAAACAGAAATAATAATAGTATACTATATTAGGGTGATCATATTCATGTCTCAATGTAATGTTTTATTATGACAGATAGAAAAAAAAATGAATGAAATAATGATAGAAATAATGTCTTCTGTATTAGAAAAATATATAGGCCTAAATAATAAATAACTAAAAGAAATGCCTCCAAATGTAACAAAAAATAGCTCTCACAAACTTATAAAAACGAACTAACAAAATCTATTTATATCTTTAGTTTTCATTCTCTTTATCTTATTTTTCTTCCTCGTCCACCTTGTTTGCCCATCTATATTTTGCTGTAGAACTGATCTTTCCCAGCAGTTTTTGTTTGAAAACCAGGAAATTTTCATCACTTAAAAACAGTCAGGACAGGACGTGGAAACGGGACATGTGTACGCAAAGTGGAGATGTTGCCCAGAGATACAAACATAGCACGAGTTGTCGGATGAACAGATGCACGAGAGACGAGAGTTGTCGTATTTCCCCGCGTTTAATAAAACCACTCAAACGTTACACTCGTCCTCATACATGGGGATCGAGCGAGAGAAAACAAACAAACATCTGGTCACAATAGAAAAATAAAAATAAAAGAAAGAATACAAAGAGTCGGCAGAGCGGTTCTCCTCTCCTCACTTGTCAAAATCTAACTGACACTATGCACACTATGCGCAGTTCTCATCTCTACTCAGATTTCTATAAAGCACAAAGTGACCGTTTTACACATGTCCCGGGAAAACAGGACTGTTGGTCACCCTATACTATACTATTATTACAGAAATACTAATATAAATATTATCTTATAGCTCTTTGTGCTCCGAGACCAGCAGCTCAACATTCATCTTGCCCATAGGTATCTTATCTCTTCTTCGCCGTATGTGTGCTCGGAGTCGGCAAGACCTTTTTGTGTTTGAGCGCCCTCAAGTTGTGTTTTTACTGTAACTTCAGAAGTACCAGACACGTGAGCAAACCCGCCAATCTCGTTGGTCGGATAGGTTTTGACGCGGCGCGTCAAACCAAAAAAACGAACCCGAGGCGTTTTTTTAAAAATGACGCTTTTATGCGTGGCGTTTTTCGCGTCGGTGTGAACACTCACATTGGCGCCCATTGTTTAGTCACGAGGCGTTAAACGTCGACGAATAACGCGCGCGAAATTCGTCCCGGTGTGAACAGGCCTTAAGGCACGCGGTGAAAAAGTGACTCTGATTGCTTTTCTGCAATCTAAGGGCTGCAACAACTAATTGATAAAAACAATAATAGATGATAATGAAAGTCGTCGACAACTAATGTCATTAACGATTACCATATGCTCCGGAGTGTAAGTCGCATCAGTCAAAAAATGCTTCATAAAGAGGAAAAAACATACGTCACATTTATTATTTCACAAAATCCAAGACCAAGAATAGACATTTAATCTGGAAAGGCAAGTTATTCAACTACACAACAGCACACAGAACAACAGGCTGAATAGGTGTCCGTTATGTTAATGTTATTCAACTACACAATTGCACAAAGAACATGTACCTGGGAGGTTGAATAGGCTAAATTAACGTAAGCCAGTGAGTCCAACAAGCAAGTTCACCAAGCTCTCGATCTCATTCCACATCACTGAATCCATTGAGTTCTTCATCCTCTGTGTCGCTTCTGAACAAGTCCGCCTGCTAGAGCGCCCTCTCGCGGATGGAGACGCTAATGTTTTATCTTGGTTTATCTCAGTCTGAATTAATTTTGATATACAAGTCGCAGGACCAGCCAAACTATAAAAAAGTGTGACTTGTAGTCCGGAAAATATGCTAGTTGCGTCTGGCCTCCATGCGCAGAAAACGTTCGCCAGTCGTATATCAAATTTCCTGCCTGAATAATGCATTTCTATCAACAATGCGACTAAAAATAGTGTTGGAAACAGAGTGAGCTGTGTGCGTTATCCAAGCTGCCCAAAACATGAGACTTCTTTAATATAAACTTCTTAAATATTCAGCATGGCTTGCCCTTCAGCTGCTTTGTCAGATCTGTTAAATGTGAGATGTTTCCATAGCGCAAAACTCTCAATTTTGTTTATATCCTTAGCTGTAAGTGTTACAAATTCATGGGACTATTTCCATTTTGCATGAAGGCTCGTCCTGACCGTTTGGGTTAGACTTAACTGAGCGCCGGCGTGACAAACAGATGCATTACAGAGGAAGACGATTAATATTCTGCGCCAAAACTGTTTTGCTGAAAGATCTGTTGTTGGATGTTAAATTTTGGGTAAAAGTCAACATTAAAGTATTAATAATTCAAGTGTTTTATGGAAGTCGTAATTGTACAGAGATTACTGCGTGTAATTGAATATAGACGTTTCTAACATTTACAGGATAATGTAATGACTGTCCAGAGTGAATGTGTTCCTGCAGTTCATCTTATCTGTTAACACTGAGTTTGTGTTTTTCTTTCTCTTTATATTGTTCATTATCTTCATTTTTATTGTAATGATTTAAACTGTCCTTTTGCTTCATAGCATAAATATTTCCACAATGTTTTCATAGCAAATATGTTTGAAGGACCGCTTTGGCCTGGATGTGGAATAGTGTGTTTTGTCAATAAGAAAAGAAAATTGGGCTTTTAAATCCATTTAATCAAAGAAATAATCGGCCAACTAATCAATTCTAACCCCAATAATTGTTAGTTGCAGGTCTAATCTTCTGACTGTGTTCACAGGTCGAGGTCCCGCAGCAAGCGCCGCTCCCGTTCCAGATCCGGCCGTAAATCCCGCTCCAGGTCTGGCAGAAAATCTCGCTCCAAATCCCCATCAAAGTCCCGCTCCAGGAAGTCGAAATCTCGGTCCCGCTCGCGTACGCAGAAATCCCGCTCTCGTTCTGACGCGCGCAAATCCCGCTCCAAGAGTCGCTCCAAGGCGAAGTCGGAGAGAGATTCCAGAAGCCGCTCCAAGGAGAAGTCCGTGAGCAAGAAGTCCCGAAGCCGCTCCGCTTCACCGATGGAGAACGGAAACGGAGACCGGGCCAAGTCCACCTCTCGTTCACCGTCCCCTAAAGAGAGCCGTCGTCATTCGGAGTCGCCCGGCAAGCGCTCTGCGTCTCGCTCTCCCTCCCGATCGAAGTCTCGTTCCCGCTCTAGGTCCGCCTCTCAAGACTAGCGTCTCGCTGATTGGAATATCTAATGCACAGCTCAGTGTTTAATCGATCATTCACAGCCTATGAACATTCACCCGATGCTTGAGAAGGCCGAGCCCTGTGTAGTATTGATGAACGTGCCGTTTTCAACATTGCATGAAAACAAAATTGCATACCAGATGTTTTTTTTTTCTTCTCCCCTACATGAGACGTGTCAAATAAGAATTTGTAATTAGTTGTGCTTGTAAGCATTGCTCAGGCCATTGTTTGTATTCGACTTGCTTTGCTTTGAGACGTCTTTAAATGCTTATGATGTTTTTGCTTTAGCGTGAGGTTTGAAGAGGCGTTATAAACTGGAGTTACTTTTGCAACTGTCCTTTTGTGGTGTAGTCAACGAGATGTGATAGTTGAGACGTCGGCTGTGCTTCCTCACTGTATAGTAATCAAGTCCTCTCTTGCTGAGCTGATTTTCTTTTTTTTTTTTTTATCTCTCTCCTGGAAGCTTTTTTGTTTCTGTTAGTGCTTTTGCTCATCTTGAATTGTTTTTGTGGATTTTTGTTTACAGTTGAATGCATCACTTGCAGTGTGATTTCTGTGATTCATTTTTAAATGGATTTTTGGATATTTTCCAGTGTTTTAGTTAAATAAACATTTAATTGGTTTCCAGTGTTGCTGCCTTTTTTTTTTCTTTCTCAAAATAAGAGCGTTTTTGTTCACATGAGGTGTAATTAAGGCAAATACACATGCTTGTATGAGACATGTCCTGTCTTTAACCTCAAAATATTATTTGAATGTTATTACTACTGTCATAGTTGGGGTGAAAATAATTCTTCACCTCTCCGCCCACATCTATATGGACAGACTGGAAGTGAAGTTCACGTACGGGTTCTGTTTTTAATTTGAAAGTGACTTTTCTTGTATGTGACATCTGGAGGAGTCTCGCCATACTTAATCAGGGTAAGTCAGTAAATCATTCAGTAAACTTTCCTCAGTTTTCTGTAGTCTAAGAGATTACAGCTCCGTAGAGCCTTAGGCCATAGTTGGTAACTTAATTCAAAGAATCACTGCCTTCCTGTGCTAAAATTCCTACAGCTTGTCGAACACAGTTAAGACTGTGGAATAAAAAAAGATGGCATAGAAATGAGAATATTATGTAATATATGTCAGCAATCAATGTATTGAGCAGTTTTGAAAGAGACTGGTTATTTAGAGTTTCTGCAACTGATTTAATAAATAAATTAGTACTAGTGCTGTCAGTGTTTGTGAAAAACTATAGGCTATATAGGTTATATGTGTGTGAAAACGTACATCAACTGATACACAAAAACAACGAACAATAAACAAAAGTAACTTTGATCGCATATTAATAATAATAATATTGTCACAGTTGTTCGACTTCTTCCTAGATCGACTATTTTTCCCAATCTAGATTTAAAATAAAATAACTCAAATATTTCATGCCGATATTTTATAGGCAGCCGTATAAGTTGAATTATAATTATATCATATATTTATATTATATTAAATTATATTAATAATTATATTTTGAATTAATTTATATATTGTCATCCCTTCCTATCAGGTCACTTTGTAATATATTAATAATATATTTAAGATGTCATTATTTCGACGTTTTAAATGTTATAATTACGATTTCACAAAAGCCTGATCTTTTCTCATGTGAAGGAAATTAGTCACTTTAAAAAATGAATAAAAAATATCCTGTTTTATTTTACACAAGTAACGTTACGCAAACACAGTTGCTATGAAGGAAGCGCCCCTGGTTACGCTTGTGTTGTCCATAAATACCCACAATGCATCGCTCACGGCCACCTCATTTTGGGGAATTCTGTGGTAACTTTTATTCATTTTTCGTTTTTTAGAAGCATTTACATTTTGTACAATGACAGCGTTATGACTCTTGTTATTTAAAAGATTTAATCAGTTGTGTAGCGAGTTAGCGAACATAGCTTTAGCTTGCTAGCTTAGCCGCTCATAACGGTGACATCATAATGCACAATAAATTTACAGTTTATCATGTATATTTTGCAGTTTTTGCTGTTGCTGTCGTTCAACGTCGGGGTTGTCATGAGGCGATAATGTATTGAAATATTAAATTCATCACCCTGTGAGGAAAACAGCGACGAAAGCATCGTGCTTTGTGTATTAGAGACAGTGATCTGTCCATCTGTAAACATTGTGGTCCATATTCCAGCATGGACAAAGAGCAACGAAATATTGTTGTTTTCAACGCATCCAAACGAGAGCTCTTCACCTCCAACTCTGGATATAAGTCCTTGCAGAAGAAATTAAGAGCACAATGGAAGATTCAAAGGTGAAATCTCTTAAATGGCTCAGATATAAACATGTTTACAGGGGTTAAGGAGGTTAATTCTCTACATTGGTGATGTGCCCATTTATCTATATCACAAAACAGGAATTATGCAGACATTTTGTTGGATTAATAAACTAGTTTGACCAGCTAGCATTTTTGCCAAGCCAAGGGGTGATAAGTCTTACTTTTCATATTCATATTAGACCATTCTACATGACTAAAAAAATGTTACTGAAGTATGGAAGCCTGTTTTGCTAAAAAAAAAATTCACAATTCTGACTATTTATGAGATTAGAATTGGAAGATGTAATGTAAACTCAATGAGATGTAAACTCAAAATTAAGAGAAAAAAGTTAGAATTGTGAGAAATAAAGTTAGAGAATTGTGAAATCTAAAGTTAGAATTGTGAGGTAAAAACTCAGTTGCGAATGTAACTCAAAATTGCTAGATGTAACTCAGAATTACGAGATCAAACTTGCGAAATAAAGTTAGAATTGTGAAATATAACGTTAGAATTATGAAATAAAGTTAGAATTGTGAAATATAAAGTTAGAATTATGAAATAAAGTTAGAATTATGAAATACAAAGTTAGAATTGTGAGGTTTAAACTCATAATTGCGAATGTAACTCGCAAAATAAAGTTAGAATTGTGAAATAAAGTTAGAATTGTGAGAAATAAAGTTAGAATTGTGAAATATGTAATAAAATAAAATTGCTAGATGCAACTGAATTACGAGATCTAACTATTCTCAGAATCACAAGGTGTAACTCAGAATTACGAGATGTCACTCAGAATTGCGAGATATAACTCAGAATTACGAGATATAACTCAGAATTGCTAGATAATAACTCAGAATTACGAGATATAACTCAGAATTGCGAGATGTAACTCAGAATTGCGAGAAATAACTCAGAATTGCGAGGAAAAATGTCAAAGTTATGAAATGTAAACTAAAAATGGTACAGTTTATATTTCGCGATTTTGAGGAAAGAAAAGTCTGAATTGTGAGATGTAAACACATTTATAAGCTCATAACTTGCAATTGTAAGATATAAACACAATTGTGAGAGAAAGAAAAAATCAGAATTGATTTTATTTCTCTTATTTCATGGTGAAAACAAGCTTCCATACTAAACTATACATGTTCCTCAGCATCAAAGAGGAGCTCAGCTTGGAGAAACTCCAAGGAGTGAAGTTATGGATCACTGCCGGCCCTCGAGAGAAGTTCACCGCTGCTGAGGTGAGACCATGAGGCTCACATGGACGAGTTCAAGCTAATGCCAGCAGAAGCTTTGCTGTGAAACTGCTGTATGTTTTCTGTGTGCTTCAGCTGGAGGTTCTCAAGCAGTATCTGGACAGTGGGGGAGGTCTTCTGGTGATGCTCGGAGAAGGAGGAGAAATGAAATATGACACTAATATCAACTTCCTCCTGGAAGAGTTTGGCATTATGATAAACAATGGTAAGTGGGATTTGGTTTTAATGTCACCTGTACATCATAGTCTCATTAACTAAAACAAAATGTGTATGTTAATTGTAGTTATACATTTGAAAAACATTTACACCATTTTAAAAGTTATGATTTAATTAATTTTATTTAATGTCAGGTGGTATAAAAAATACATTTTCCTTGCACATTAAAAACATTTACATAGACACAACTATATATTTTTTTCAAAACAATTTTTCAAGTCAAGATCTCAAGATACAGAACATTTATTCCCCTCAAATATCTTGTCATCATGACATTATGCTTTGAAAAATATTTTAGTTTAGTTATTTTTCTTTAATATGGTGTCATGGTGCCTCCACCATCTTGACATTCTTTTTTTGTGCCTCATTAAAATCTTGAATTATCTTTTTGTTTTTTTAATCTGGGAAGAGGTGTGTTCAAGTTTAAACATTATTCTGAAATGTATACTTTTTTTGTATTGGATTTGCAGATGCAGTAATAAGGAACGTCTATTATAAATATTTCCATCCCAAAGAAGCCCTTGTGTCTAATGGTGTTCTGAACAGGTTTGTGTGTTGAAATGTTTCTCTAGGGATTTGTTTGGAGATTATATTAAAACTAACCAGTCTTTACAGGGTTTAAATGATTTTAATCTTCTTCTTTTTTTCCAGGGAGATCAGTCGTGCCGCTGGTAAAGTGGTAACAGGGGTGATTGATGAAGAAAGTTCGGGGAATAATTCACAGTAAGCTTGAGCTGATGTTCTGTTTATGTCAGACGTTGTTCACGGCAGCCGATGAAGAACATAGACTGGCATTATGCAAATCTGTTACAAACCTACGCAGATTCAGCAGGAAGTGAGACTGGAAATACTGACGACTCATTTCGGTTCAGAATCACTTCGTTCTTTCAGGAGACAAAAACTCCATTTATCTGCACTTTGAAACTTTGCAGATCTTTTACAGTCACAAACAGCTCTATTACACACTCCATGAAAGATAATATCCCAAAAAGCATAACAGGGGCACTTTAAAGTCAGAATGTGTAATGACTTTTATTTGATGGTTATACAGGGCACTTACCTTCGTTTACCCTTATGGGGCCACATTAAATGTGATGAAGCCTGCGGTGGCCGTCCTGTCCACTGGCTCTGTGTGTTTTCCACTCAACAGGCCTGTTCTTGCCTTCCATCAGCCTAAGGTGTGTGTGTGCAGTCATTCTGATGATCAGACTCAGTCATACCTGTGTTCAACTCACTGGGCCTTATTTTGAGCTTCAATGTCTCTGTTTGTGTCTAGAACGCTGGCAAGTTGGCAGTTCTGGGCTCATGTCACATGTTCAGTGACCAGTACCTGGACAAGGAGGAGAACAGTAAAATCATGGTAGGATATTCATTTGCTATTGCAAAATGTCACTGATACCGATGGTGAAAATGTAGGGTTAGGAGTTTGTTCAAAGTGTGATTAATTGCAAATTAGTAGTTTTGCTATTGCTCACACTTTGAACTTTCACCAGTATAGTAGCTTGTCTTGCACAGTTTGTGCCATAGATGATTTAAGACTGGAAAAACTGATTGAGGAGCCACCACTCCTCGAGTGGACAAAAGACCTTGCGGCAAATTAACATTTGAACTCCCTCAAATCATGAGGCTCAAGGCTGGAATGCACTACACAAGTTTTTCCGGATTTTTGCCCCGATTTGCATTATGGACAGTTTGTCACTTAAAGTCAGAGCCAGATTTTGTAAAGTCACAAGTATTTTGTCGCTTCAAGCTATGATTCATCCAGTCAGAAGATCTCAAACATGATTTTGAACACACATCGTTGTCATTTATCACACGAAAAGGGCTTATTCTGAACGGCTGTTAGTGGTGATTCTCAATGGGCTTTATGCCCAGCTGCACTACTTCCTGAACTTCAGCCAGCTCCTTGTTTCCTGTCTGCCATTATTGGCCAAATTGATTAATTCAGGTGTGTCTGATTATTGTTGCCATGACTACTGAGGTCAGGTACACCTGAATTAATCAATTTGGCCAATAATAGCAGACAGGAAACAAGGAGCTGGCTGAAGTTCAGGAAGTAGTGCAGCTGGGCATAAAGCCCATTGTTTAGTAGGTAACCATTTACAAAGTCGGCAAGTGTTTGAAAATCTGTTTAGATTAAACGTTTTGTGGTATATTCCAGTCCTTACAGAGAAGATGTGTTATTATTTTAAAAAACATATAAAGCATGCACATCCAGAAATATCGCAAATACAGGTGCGTAACTGAGGATTTATAAAAAACATTTGAAGAGTTCAGATGCAAAAGCCTCTAAGTGCCATTTAAAATTTTCTCCTAGAATGATAATTTTTATCAAGCCTGTATATTTAAGTTCAGTAATTTGACTTAAATGACAATTAATAGGTAATCTTCATTGCAATTTAAGTGAAATCACTGAACTTAAATATACAGGCTTGATAAAAATGATCATTCTAGGAGAAAATTTCAAATGGCACTTAGAGGCTTTTGCATCTGAACTCTTCATTTGCTCCTATAAACATGTATTACACATTGTTAGATGAGCTCAGTAAATGTTTTGAGGGAGTGTGCTGACTCTGTTTTGTGTGTGTTATTGCCCTTATAGTCCTTTCGGGTAAACGATACCAGATTAACCAGACAGAACACCCTAGCAAACACATAGCGAACACCTTGAACAATTTAACACCTAGGATTGTGCTAGTGATCTAGATGTCCTTCATAAAATGTAAAAACTCAGTTACTTTTGTGGCTATTGTTTATAATGTATTGTTTTTTAATGCGTACGTTGCAGGATGTTGTTTTCCAGTGGCTTACAACCGATAGCATTCCTCTCAACCAGATCGATGCAGAGGACCCAGAGGTGAGCGTCACTTGGTTACCTTCATATCTGGGTTACAATACTCAACTGTTCAAACATTTGGGCTCATTATGATTTATTTGATGTTTTTGAAAGAAGTCTTTTCTGCTCACCAAGGCTGCATTTATTTGCTTAAAAAAAACAGTACAACAGTGGAAGATTATTACAATTTAAAAGAACTGTTTTCTATTTTAATTTACACTACCATTTAATTTATTCATGTGATGCAAAGCTGAATTTGCAGCATCATTACTCCAGTCTTCAGTGTCTTAATACGCTGATTTCACGAGAGGTTCTCAATTTTAAGTTCGAGGTCAGAGGAGTTACCAAATTACCACTCGTTACAACCGAGCAAAGCATTTGTGAAGCCACAACACACACAACCTTGAAGCAAAGGGGCTACAACAGCAGAAGACCCCACCGGGCACCACTCATCTCCACTACAAATAGGAAAAAGAGGCGACAATTTGCAAGAGCTCACCAAAATTGGGCCGTTGAAGACTGGAAAAATGTTGCCTGGTCTGATGAGTCTCGATTTCTGTTGAGACATTCAGATGGTAGAGTCAGAATTTGGCGTAAACAGAATGAGAACATGGATCCATCATGCCTTGTTCCCACTGTGCAGGCTGGTGGTGGTGGTGTAATGGTGTGGGGGATGTTTTCTTGGCACACTTTAGGTCCCTTAGTGCCAATTGCGCATTGTTTAAATGCCACGGCCTACCTGAGCATTGTTTCTGACCACGTCCATCCCTTTATGGCCACCATGTCCCCATCCTCTGATGGCTACTTCCAGCAGGATAATGCACCATGTCACAAAGCTCGAATCATTTTAAATTGGTTTCTTGAACATGACAATGAGTTGACTGTACTAAAATGGCCCCCACAGTCACCAGATCTCAACCCAATAGAGCATCTTTGGATGCTATCCTATCAATATGGGCCAACATTTCTAAAGAATGCTTTCAGCACCTTGTTGAATCAATGCCACGTAGAATTAAGGCAGTTCTGAAGGTGAAAAGCGAAATTATTAATGAATTTCATATAGTCTAAAGTATGAAAGAAATGTGTGTACAGTTTCAGAATTTCTACTTTAAACACAACAATACACCAACGCATTCGTGACTCTCCTGTGATTAAAGGCGGCACTTCCAGTTTTCTTTCCCACCGGAGCCTCGCTTTTGATTTCAAAATAACGGCTGCATGAAATCAGTGTATATGATGATTTGCTGCTCAAGAAACATTTCTGATTGTCAATGTTGAAAAACCTTCATATTTTTGTGGAAACAGTGATGCATTTTAAATCGAAAGTTCTAAATAAAGGCATTTATAAATAGAAATCTAACATTCTAAATGTCTTTACTGTGACTTTTGATCAATTTAGTGCTGTTTCTGCCCTTGAATATGTGACCTGACTGCATAACACACAGGTCATGCTTCAGGACTGTGAGGTGACAATCTTCCTTTAATTTTCGCAGATCACAGACTACACCATGCTTCCGGACACAGGGAGTCTGTCTGACCGTCTGAGAGTGTGTCTGCAGGAGGGAGACGAGAACCCGCGAGATTTCACATCCCTGTTTGACATGTCTCTGCTAAAGCTGCACACAAACACTCTTCCCTCTGTCCTGGAGTAAGATTCACATTACCTAAAGACACTTCCATGTTGTGTTCTGACACAAACACACACACTCATGCATTGAACTCTTCTTGTGTGCTTCAGTTTATATGAAACAGTGTCACGAGGGCATGAGTTTGTGTGTTCATAACAGCATGAGTTTGTGTGTTCATAACGATTGTCACAATTCGATACCATACTCAAGATACCATATTATTGCAATACTCCAAGACACATGGCAAAATGTTAACAAAAAATGAACTGTTGATTAAAATTTGGTGTCACATTGTGTTTGTAAGTGAATAGTCTTGGACTTGGTGCTGAAACCCAAAGCACAGGACAATAGAGACACCAGAATAACAATATTCATGATTCTGAAGATTAAAATAATGTCTTACACTTTTTACTGGTAACATCCGATATTTGGCATTATCAGGACACACAAATATTCCCTGTTGCATTATTATACATTATATTCAACATTATATATAGACCATTTCGCAAGATGTAAACAATACTGGTCCAGAAACACTTCCTGTTTCAGTTTGTAACTGTTTTCTTTATTTCACATGTAAAGAAAAAAAATCTTAAATATGTTTGTTTAACTTTTTGATTCAGTTTTATATGTTCTGTTGGTTGTATTTTATCCCAGCTTTTATGTAGTGTTAAAAAACTGAAACAGGAAGTGCTTCTGGACCAGTGTTGTTTACATCTTGCAAAATGGTCTATAGTAGTTTAAAGTAGTACTGACACTTGAAAACGTAATTTTTTGGGGGGTGAAATAGACACAATACATATTGCCATTATCCATGATACATATTGTTGCGTTTTTGTATTATATTACTAATGCTTGGCCAATCAGACATGCATTGAAATATTATTAACTAATGAATGTCTGTATTTTTAGTGCTTACAAGCTGCTGAATGTAAAACATGAAGCTCTCCAGCTGATCACACCTCAGTTTGAAACTCCTCTTCCTCTTCTGCAACCGGCCGTGAGTCTGTCTTCATTGCATTCGGCTTTATTGTCTCTAAAATGTTTACACTCCAAATCCTTGAAGTCCTGACTTTAAGGAAAATACCTTAAAGTGTGTGTGTGTAGATGATCTGTGTTTGACTGAGACGTTGTTTTGTGCTCAGGTCTTTCAGCCAGCGTTTAGGGACCTTCGCCCACCCATGCTTGACCTTTTTGACCTCGACGAGACCTTTTCTTCTGAGAAAGTTAGGCTGGCTCAGCTCTCAAACAAATGTGAGTTTCCACCACTGGCTCCGAATGCACAGAAAGATTTGTAATCCTGTCATTGTCTCGGCGATTTGTAAATGGTTGCGTTGTCTTCTCTAAGGTACCGATGATGATCTTGAGTTTTATGTACGTAAATGTGGAGACATCTTAGGAGTGACAGGGAAGTTGGACAAGGACAAAAGAGATGCCAAGCACATACTGGAGCACGTCTTCTTCCAGGTGGTGGAGTTCAAGAAGCTCAATGTAGTAAGTTAAACACACAAACATTTCCATTTTATTTATTTAGCCATTCATTTAGTCTTTAATTTAAAATTCCATTGGTATTGTCATTTGTGCACCCACATGTTTCAAACCTGTAGGATTTTCTTTTTTCTGTGAACCACAAAAAGGAAAAGATTTTTCCACTTTTCCCAATGTAAGTGGATGGTGATTTAAACTGCAAAGCTCAGAAAAACAGTAGCCTGAGATCTTAAAGTCTGCCTGTGGTGAAAATCCATCCAGTTTTATATGTAAAAATCCATGTTGTTTATATATATATATGTGGTGTTTTTAATATGCTTTAAGACACACCATGTGTAAATTCATAAGTTGACAGCATTGCTGAGTATTTTCTCCTTAAAACTGCAGTGAACCAAAGACAGTCTCAAAAACACGGTTTGAAATCGCTGGTGTTTCTGACGTCATAAATTATCTTGTGACCAATCAGATCAACGCGTGATCGTCAACCAGTGGATCTCTGAGTGAGAGAGATGAGATGGGGCTCATTTGCATATTCATAGAACCCCACATACTAAGGCAAGCTTTTTTAAGGCTAAAAATAAAATAAAAACACGAACAAAAAAAACGCTTAAATATGTCATTTTGGTGAACGAAGATGACTTTTAAGTGGTAATATTATTGACTCCGGGGGACTTTAAATTTCATTTAAAATACTAGAGAATATCACCATAGATTAAATAATGTTACACGAAAGCCTTAAGGACTACTTGTAAGTTATTTATGTGATGTTTTATTGGTTCTTTATGGATGGAATTATGGAAAAGAATAGCTTGGACATTCTGCCCAAAATTTCTTTATTTGTAAAATAGTTTGTGGTTTGAACGACATTTACTTTACTTGGGTGAATAGTATCTTTAAGTCATCATGAAATTGAAGCCACGTTAGTCTTTTCTTCCCTATTGTGCCTTATATCCGAGTGAAACGGCTTCTGGAACAAGAGCAAATGTGGGCGGGGCTTGATTTTGTCTGTGGGGAATTGATTGGGTGGTTGTGGTTTGCTATTGGTCGATCTCATGTGAGTGACAGGTTATAGCCCTGCCCTTGTCTTCAGAGAAGAGGAGAGATGCAATGCTACAAGAGTTTTTTTGATTCAATATTTTGAGACGCATGAATTTAAAACAATGATGTGCACCGATAAATAATTTATAATAAAATACTGCAATATTCCATTACAAAAAAAAAAAGAGGTGTCCATTTTGATTTTAACGTGGCTTTAAGATTGCTTCTTTTTTCTCTTTCCTCAAGGAGCATGATATCGACACCACAGAAGCAAGATTCAACATGTATTGAAGCAGACAGACCGTGGAGCTGCCGAGTGTTGGAGCAAGTACTTGATTTGGAGAAGCGCGTGTGTGTGTGTGTGTGTGTGTGTGTGTATATATATATATACACAATATAAACACTCAAACTACAAGATGTGGTTCATCAGATTTTTCCAAGCCTATGGTTTAAAGAATTCACAAGCTTTCTTGTAACATTTTTACATATACATCAATAAATATATGAGCTTTGTTTTCTAATGTTGGAACAGATTTGTTTATACACACATTAGCATCCAAATCCAATATTCAAGATTGAGAAATTAAGCATGTGAGACTTAAGGCAAAAGATTGACTTTGTTTCAGTGGTTGTCAGTTCTGGTCCGAAGTTCCCCATTGTTCAGGTCTCTAAACGGTTCCCGTTCATAGGGATCCAGAAACACTCCACTCCTAGACTGAAAGCATAACAGGCATGTGCATGATGCCACTTTTCTCAAAGTCATGCGTTTTGTAGTTTACATGGAGATGACGGCAGTATTGATTTCAGAAACTTGCACTTTAAAACCCATTTTCAAAGGTTTGCTTTTTCAGGGACCCAAACTGCTGTCACTGTAAATCAATGGCCAAAAAAAAAAAAAAAAAAAAAAATTATTTACTTGAGAAGCAAAACTGCTTAAATGTTAACTCCTGTTTTCTGAAACACTGAGCAAAATTAAATTAGTTTTTGCATCAGTGAAATCAGAAAAATAATCTTGTTTTCTTACAGGATAATTTAACTAAACAAGTTTATTTTTCGGACCAGGTTTCTGGCAGATATTCTCTCATTTAGATTTTTTTCTTTTCTTCAGAGATCAATATTTAATCTAGTAAATTTTTTTCCAAGTACATCTTGAGGTAAGACTGGAAAACAAGACCATACTTCATAAGAAACTTGAGCGTGAAGCTCACTCACCCCCAATTAATACAATCAGTCTTCAGTAGATCATTTGTAACACACATTTATAGTGAATACAATACATTAACACTTTAATGAAAAACAAAATAAATAAATGTTTAGTACAAAAACATCTACATAAGTCACAGGTGCCACAGGGAGCATCACATCATCTGCAAAACAAAGCAGAAGTTTAGAACAACCCCATTACTTCAATAATTACTGTTAGCATCAGAGCTGGGGTAACTCATTACAAGTAACTCGAGTTATGTAATCAGATTACTTTTTAAAGCAACACATTACGTTACAAAATACACACGTTACTTTTTAAAATAAGTAACGATAGTTACATTCACATTTATTGACTAACATCCCTCCTGTCCCTATGTTCAGAGAAATAAAGTGAGGTGTGTGCGCGCGTGTAAACGGTTATTTTAGTTCTAGACTAAATGAACATGCATTTACTCATCTCAGTTGCAGACACATTCAGTGTTCTTCGAAATAAATAAAAACAGTAAAATGCAATCTCATTTTTCCTTTATAATAACCCATTAATATTACACAAATACACTTTATGCATTTAATCTGACTATTAACCAACGTCTTTGCTGCGGGCCTTCAATGCTATAGTTCAAACATATGAACAAAATGACTTCCGATTAGATTTAGAAATAAGACTGTTGAACTTGCTTCTGTATCCTTTGTTTCTGTAAGGTTTAAACATGCATCTCCTGTACAGGAGTAAATCTGCTTTTCTTTTAAAAGCAACTTTCCCCAACACTGATTAGCATGCATACACACCTAAAACAGGGCATCCATCAAATGGCCAAGTTGGATGAACTCAGTTCCTCTCTGAGATCTGGGATTGCAGGAGCTTGACCCGATCCCTGCCAGACCATTTCCCTCCAGGAGCGCTGAAGATCCCCTGAAACATTAGGCCCGGCCCACAGCGAGAGCTCAGAAGGCACCGAGGGGTTGATGGGACTCCATGTGGACTCCAAACATGACTTAGGGCTGTCGACCACGGCCTTCACGAGGGACACTTCCCATGAGGGGTGTGTGGCGGTGAGGTCGACGCAGGACAGGTCCAGCGAGCTTCCCAGGACCGGCTTCTGAACCTTCACCCTCTCGTAGGGTGTGGAGGACTTGCCTTGCGCTGGACTGTTGCCTGGGGACAGAGTGTTCTTCAGGGCAACTAAAGGTGAAAGAAGACTCGTGGAGTAGTTCAGACACGGGTTGGGCTCTGAATACTCCAGCACAACACCTTTACTCGGCCTCAGGAACCCGTCGGATGAACCCACTGATAAAGATAAACTCTGGTCTGTGCAAAACCCTCTGTCAAAGTCAGACATCGACGGGCCCTCAGAGCTCCTGGTCAGTTCTGCAAAACAAGCAGTGTTTAGTTATGCATGAATATAGCGTACTATTGGAAAAAGTATGGTTAGATTTGATTTAAATATCAAAATGTGTATGCGTTAGGACTTTACCAGGTATATCCCGTGCTGAATCCATTAGGAAAGTGTGGTGTTAATTAACTAGACTCAGCTTGCATTTATAGCTGCGCCTTGATTGGGTCATTAACTAGTTCTCCTGCTATTGGCTCGTTTAGTCTCATGACCTCGATCAGCAGAATGAACTAATCTTTATTAAAGTAATAATAATTTATTATAATAATTTGTTACATTTATATGCCGATTTTAGTAATAATTAAAGCTAATTTCGTTCGCCGGAGCGAGTACAATTAAAACTATATTTGTTTAATAGATCTTTTCTCTGAACACGACCACATGCGCAATATTTGATTGTAATAATAAAACAAACAAAACAAAAAAAGGAAAAAAAATAAAGATGAGTTATGAGAAATTAGTAACTTTAACGTGAAATTTGAACAGTCTACCTTTTTTACAGTCTATGATTACGGCACACATTGTTAATTAAATAAAGTTGTTTCCTGCTAATCTATCAGGAATATAACCATCGTTGGAATTACTCTTTTCTAGCATGTTTCAGTTGAACAAATATTTACAAATTATTGATTTTAACAAGGGGAATACATTCAAAACAAATACAAACAGTCGATTTTTTTTATGACAAATTTTGGCCATTTTAAAGTACATTAAATCACTTTGGTGTGATTTACGACATCAAACATAAAAATTATTATTATATTATTTATTTATTTTTCAGAGAAGCGCGTACATGTGTTCCGAGCGCGCACGCACTACGTGCTGTGCTCATGTGGCTGCGCGCGCAGCGTGTGTTCCCTGACGTCACTCGCGGGAATGGATGAGAAAAAGGAGCGCGAGATAGGAACTTGGGCGCGCAGTGGATGTTCAGCTGGAGAGTTGTAGCGCTCTTTTTAATGAAAGCTCTTACTGTATTTGATCGACCATCTCATTAACATCACCGATGTTTTTGCGATTGTATCCTATGCGCATTGTGTCCTCGTAAATATATTTTTCTTTGGAGCATTTTTATAAAACATTAGGGAAATGTCGTGGTGGGCGCGCGGGTAAGTACACAAAGTTTATTATTTCTCGTATGCTTTATATGATTGTGTAATGGAGTTTTAATAAAGTGCAAGAAAATGAGCACGAAATATGCATTCGACATAATGATTGACCTTGTAGAGATTGTTGACATGAAGTTTGTGTCGAGCCCGCCCAATGTAAGAGCACAAAGAGCTGCTAGACAGGCGCTGGACTTCAGCATTACATCCACGAGTTTGACTTTACTGTCTCTGACTGAGTTTACAGAGTCATTGAGTCACCCAAACCAGTGCAATGTGTAAATTTGGATAAAAACTGGCATATGCATTGAGAATATTAGATTGAAAGTAACATTATCTGGGCGATTTGCACGATTCTAGAGCCCTGAAAGTGTTTTTATGATCATTGCTTTAGTTAAACATAATTCTGAGATTTCATCTAGATTTGATGAGCATTTTCTGGTAAACACACACAAGTCAAGATGTAAACACACTACCCCGCCTAATGGTGTCAGTGTAACCTCAACACAGTGTTGCCAGTGTTTGCTGATCTGTGTACAGTGCTGTTTTCCCAACCCTTAACATGTGTGTGTGTGTGTGTGTGTGTGTACAGGGAGGATGAGGAAGAGGCCATGTGTCAGGACACAGACTCTGATGTTGCTGATCAGAAGGATTGTGGGAAGGTGAAAGTGAAGTGGACCCAGGAGGAGGTACACACTCATATAAACTCAGGCATTGCTTGGGTTCAAGGTCTTTTATTAACAAAATCTTAAATGGTAACATTATACATCACCAAAAGATGAGATTATGCATATAAATCATGAATCAGTGTAAAAAACCCCCACCTTCATGTTCTTCCGAATCCATCAGTCTAATGTTTACACCCATAAACCCTGATCAAGTATGATAAACGGATGCTCAATCACAAGTTTATATGTGATTAAAAAGTCTTTAAAATACTAAATCATTGAGATTTTTATCAGTATAACAAACTACTTGCATAAAATACATATAAATATCACTTGTTACTCTTTATCTTCCAATTAGGTCTGCAAGATGATATTTAAATGCTTAAACCGCTCGAATCATGTCGATTCTGTGGATGATGAGGGAATAAATACACCTTTTACTGTTGCATGTTATCCAGCTTTCTTCAATCAAAAAGATTGTTGTCATTGTCAAAAAAATAAAACATTGTATATGCTTTTCCAGGATGATAAGCTGCGAAAACTGGTTCTGAACGCTGGACCAAACGATTGGAAACACATCGCTGGCTTTCTGCCTGTACGTACGTTCACCTCCATGATGAGATCTTCCTGGCTTTGTGGTTGGTGTCTCCACGTTAAGATCTCAATGTTAATGTGTCCATTTATTTCATGTAAAGAGCCGGTCGGAGCATCAGTGTCAGCATCGCTGGTTCAAAGTTTTGGATCCGGATCTTGTGAAAGGACCCTGGACCAAAGAGGAGGACGAGAAGGTGCGTTTTCAACTAAAGTTTTTTTTAATCGCAGCATCTGATTCATACAGAAGTTATTTTATATTACGATCCACGTTCAGGCTCTGTGCTGTAAATCATTTTCCTTTTTTGGTGTTCGGGGTCAAAAATGACCGTCCTTTTAAATCTCTCATTATGCGTTATCACCAAATACTGGATTCAGTCTTTTAGTGAACTTTAGCACAGGTTTTCTTGGAACTGATTGATTAGAGCCTTAACTGTCTGAGTTATATTTAGTTATAGTTATATTTTTTAGGTGAATAAATTTAAAGGGGCGGTTCAGGATTTTGGACATCAGGCCTCATTTCCAAGTGAGCCTTAGTGTTGTTTATCAGTGGAGACAG